CGAGAGAAAATATATATATATATATATATATATATATATATATATGCATATATATTTTAAACTAGAAGGTTAACTATATATTAAGAAACAAAGGATTACAGTGCTTAGGAGGCCTAACAAAAGAATCTTAAGACAATCCCCATTAATCAAAATACGAAGAGCACAAGGAGACTTGGTAATAAGAACCTCTTGATGGGTAGTAGCAAATCTAGCAAGCCAATTAGCAGGCACATTGGCTTCCCTAGGAGTGAATGACCATTTGACATTAATATACCTAACTAACACAGAAATCTGTTTAAAGATAAAATATATCTGCCATGGGAGTTCAGCATAGCTAAAACAGCAATTCCAAAGGACCATAGACCATTTCAATAATAACATTAGTCAAAGTGGCAACTCTAAGAGCAGACAAAACAGCAAAAGCTTTAAAATTTAGAGGGAAAACAGGCTGAAGAGGAGCACCAAAGACCAATAGAGCTTTACCCATATTGTCCCTGCAGATACCACCACAACCAGCAATATTGGGGAAGTAACTCCCATACACGTTTATCTTAACTCAATTGGCAGGAGGCTTATTACCATCAGCATTAGGATAGCCTGCCAATTTACCATACAGCTGAATTTTTCGGATGTGAACACAAATTATAGAGACGACAGCTAGGGGAGTTCTCTGAACATCATTCCGACCATGTTTCAATTCATTTCTAGTCACCCAGATGAACCAACTGTTAATTAAAGGAGGAATTCTTAGAAGGAGATTAGGCATTGTAGAGCAGTCATTCCGCCAATCAAACTGATTTTTGCAATTGTAACCGGTGAAAAGGCCCTTTAAAAACTGGAGTTAGAGGGACCAAACTTGCTTGGTAAAAGAGAAGTTGAGGAAGTTGTGAGAGATGGTCTCCTCATCAGACCTGCACAATAGGCATACTGAAGGCAGGAGAAAACCTTTAAGTTCAAGAATAACATCAGTTGGCAGAAAAGAGTAATAACCCCTATATATAATGTAAATTATTTTCAGAATGTAACAAAATAGAGTACTAAAGTACCACTATTATTGTGATGAGATATAAAATCAATAAACAGTATCCATTGAATTTTTTGACAGCCGTCACTTCAGACAATCTAACATTGATTATGAGACTGTGAGAGATCAAATGATAGAAAAAAGAAACAAAAAACTAGAAATTGATGCAAATGTGCAAACAATCATGGGAAATTGCACGGTTGGGCGAGAAAGAGATTAGGTGAGCATGTTTACCTCACTTTGGTCCTTCTTCTCTCATCTCCCACTCCATTAGAGCTTAGGTTTAAGCCTTAGGATTTTCATAGAGGCTACGCTAGAAGACTAGTGAATGGTTGAGATCCGAAATCAAAACTCAGACCAATCATTACTCATTTTTAAAATATGTTTAGCCTTAATCCTTAGCCATTATTTTGGTGTTAAGTGTTTTGTAGCTAAGTTATTAAAATTAAAGGTTGAGTAACCATAGGTCAATGGCATGACTTCTAGGTGATATATTGAGCATAATAACTCTACTTCGTGACTTAAACACCTTAACCCAAGCCTAAATGGGTTGATCTTGGCCTGGCTTAGGGTTTGAGTTAGCTTAGATGTGTTTCGGCTTAGCTCAATTTAAAACTAAAATTGAAATCTAACACAAATTAAATTTAGGGTCTGTTTGGGGCAGCTGCAACTTATTGAATAATCTATTGGTAAGCTGATTAAAAATAATCTATTGATAAACAAGGTGCGGTGGCTATTATAAATTTTTTTTTTTTTTGGAAAAGCCAGACTGCTAATAGAAAGCTGTCAACACACCTAGATAGGTGCAGTGTGAAAATGTTGTTTTCAGAGTTTTGAAAACGCATAAACTGTCAAAAAGCAGTTTGCCCAAATAGGTCAGGTGTGTTTTCAAAACGCCGCCACACCAAATAAGCTGCCCCAAACGGACCCTTAATTCAACAAATTTAAGTTAAAACTTAAATTTGAACTAGACTCAACTTAATATAAAAAATTGGACCCAAATATATGTAGTTTTCGGATCATCATATTACTCGGAATTCTAATCCGTAATTTACATAAAATTCTTTGTTATACCTGGAGAAGCAAGCCATGAGTTCGTCATTAATTTGACACAATTATTTATATCAATTTCTGTGTTTCAAATTTTCATACATGAAATCTTCTAAGCATAAATTTTCCTTTGAAGCGTTGTTTCGCGAAATGGATCACACGAGTGCGTCTAGCTCAACGAAACCATTCAAATGAGCTCATTTGCTTTCGAATCGGACTCCATTTGGTGGTGTCTTAGGACCAAAATAATTTGGAGAATAATAAAAGCAATAATAATAATAATCACTAAAATATTAACATCAAAAAAAAAGTTTAAAATCATATAACTAAAACATAAAGTCTAAAATCTAAATTAAAATGCTAATCAAAACATGAACAAAATTTTAACCCAAACATTACTAAAATTCAAAATCTATAGTCAACTTCAACTTAACACAAATGTAAACTTAAAATTAAATTTAAACAAAACAAATTAAAGTTAAACTAAATGAAATTAAAACTTAAACCTAAACAAACTAAATTTAAGATTAAACATAAATTTAAACCTAACATAAAGATTAAAGCTAAAACTAAACATAAATTAAAACTAACTTAAAATTAAAATACCAATTAAAATTAAATTAAACAAAATCTAAATTTAAAATAAACCAAAATGACTTAATTAAAATCAAACCTACGACAAACCAAATTTAATATTAATTAAACCAAAATATAAAATAAAATAAATCTAAATCTAACTTAAATTTATTTTAAAAGAAAACCTGAAATTTAAAATTAATTTTAAGTTAACCCAAACTTAAATTTAAATAAAATCTTAATCAAACATAAACTAAATAATCTTTAAAACTTAAACTTAAAACAAACTTAACTAAAATCTAAACGTAAACAAATTAAACTTAGACTTGACACAATCATAACATAAAACAAATATTAAGACAAAAATTAAATATAAACTAAATGAAATTAAAAAAAAAACTCATATTTACATACATACCACTTAATTCTTGTATATAAAATATCTAACACCTAAATGTTATTTTACATACATGCCACCTTCTATATGCATGAAATGGTGTCGGTGTTAGATACGTAAATACATGCCTTAATGCATCCTTTAATCATGGACCTTGATCTTGATCAAGTGGATGAGAGTCTAAAAGGCTAAGAGTAGCTTCACATGGTGCTCTAACTTCTCCAAGAAATCCTACTCATCTGATATTTGATCAAAAGAGAAGTGTGGTGCCAAGCATATTAACCCACCAAGTGATACCCTAGCCCTTCACAAGAGAAATTCAACCTCCTCTCCATACAAAATTTTCGAAAACCTCTCCTCACCCAACCAAAATTTCAAGGTCTCCTTCTATCAATTGAAATTTCAAGCTCTCTCCTCTTAGCTGAAGCTTCAAGGTCTCCTCCACTTCTTGGGCGAAAGTTCAAGGTGTCCTCTTCTATCGGCCAAAATTTGCAAGTGGTTCTACTCTTCCATTTGGTTCCTGTCCGAAATCATCAAGAAGGTAAGATTCCTTCACATTTTCTACCCTCAAACTTCTTTATTTGCTCAAAATTTTATAAATTCCATGAATCCATCTTCCAATGGGCTTAAATTAGTCACATAAATTTAACATGTGTTATACTTCTCATCCTCCAAAATCATTTTAATTTGGTTGTAACCATATGACTCATCCTTGAATGAAAAAGATTGTGTGAGAAGAGGTAATGTCAACCATAAGTTCCAGTACAGGCAACGGGAACTTATTTTTTGGTACATGCCTGTTTCAAATCTCTTAAGTTGGCGCAGACGCGACATTGACCATTCTTCAATTTCTTAACCAGTACCACACTTGTCAGCCACGATGGATATTTCTCCTCTCGAACGAAACCAGTGTCGATCAATTCCTTCATTATTTGATATTCAATTTCCAAGCACATGCGTCGAAGAGCTTGATTTGTAAAATAATACATTAAATTATACTTTGAGTTTAGAGATTATCACTTTTGGGGTAGTCCCGGCGTGTAGTTGGAATTAAATGACAGAATTCTCAAGTTTAAGAAATAATCTAACAAGATTTTTGGCTTCATTTTCGCTTAAAATGAAAATCACAACGACGGGCTAAGAATTGCATCTCTATCTGAGTTGATTCTTTTAATTTTTGGCCCATTTGACTGTTGACTTGTTTTTTCTTTTGCAAATTCTATAGATTTTAAGAGAGTTCAACCATTAATAGGAAACTGACTTCAAAACTCCTAAGAAAAAAGAGAACAAAGATGAACTCTTGAAGATTTATTGGAAATATTGTACTATAGGGTGGTTTGGACTTCCAAGTTTGCAACAAGGTTTGAACATGGTGATGTTAGAGCAAAAAGTGTCATATTGGATAATTTTCTTGAACAATGATGATTTAGACCAAAATATTTGCCTTTCTTAGGATCCAGACTTTATTGTCATCTGTCTTTAGAAATATATTTATCATTTTATGATCAATTAATTGATCAAGTTAACTTTTCTCTTCTTTTACTCTTTTTTCTTCTTTCTCATTTTTTTTTCCTTTTGGCTCTGAATAATCTTTTTTTAAGTTTAAACCCCTTTCAAAGTGATGTTCTTAAGTTAAAGTAAACTCGAAAGTGATTTGATATGTTGATGGATAGGCTCGAATCAATAAAATTTTAAGTAGCTTAAGTGAACCACACATACAGGAATATAAAGTTGACAAATCAATTAGCTATCACAAAAGACAAAATATTTGTCAAAGAAGTGAGATTCTAAGAATTTTCTTAAGAAAATGTTGTCTTCTTTTTATAATTTAAATCGTTATATTTGACCTTAGTCATCTACAAATATGTCTTATAAAGAAACATTTCCTAATGGCATAAGGTATCCGTTAATGCCAACAATCTTATTTTACATTTTAACTTTCATCTTAGATGATAAGATATTGTCATTATGAAGTGCAACTTCTACAATTTCCTCTGTAGAGGACGTTGTGGCACATATATTCAAACCTAGTTATAATCGAAGATTCTCCTCTTTGTCAAAATTACAAAACACCAACTCCATCAACAAAACTGCACCCAAAAAATTTAAGAAGAGGTCATCCTTGTCTGAAGAGATTATTAGATTCATTGGAATCTAATGGAATGTCCTCTAAAGAGATTTTAGTTGGGTTTACTCAGACAGATGTAGGTTTTACATCATCTCAAATTTGTTTCCTCTCCCCCAAAATTGTCTTCGGAATTCATGAACTAACTTGTAAAATAAGTCTTTAAGCTTATTGTAAACATCTACAGGGAGAGGTTTTATACTTTATTTTGATATTTCAAATGATTGCTCTTATTTTAAGGAAGAACTTTATACAGTCACAAGATAAGAAGAATAAAAAACAAAGATTTAGCGCATTAATACTTGGCAACAATTTTGTCTTTCAAAAAACAAAAGAACTACCATCAATTATATTGTAATTGTTAAAGATTTAGTCAAGTTTAATTACAAAATCATTAACAAAGTGGGCTTGATTTCAGAATTGAATTAATACTGGTTTGAAAGAACAATTTGGTTTTGCATGAGGCATTATTTTCAAATTAAATCACAAGTATAATGTCGACAATCGATCAATTATAGTTTGATTTCTATATTTAAAAATTTAACTCGTATCTTAATAATCAATTAGCATTATAGGGTGTATCTAAATGTACAAAAAGTACTGAGGAATAAATTTGAGGGTGATTTCTTTCATTTCAACTGATTTACAATTTGATTTGGATTTAAACCTTATTTTGTAAAATGCAGGTATGTCAAAGCAGGTTATAATAACATGACCCTATTCTAAGAATCGAGTCAAATAAATACGAATTTAATATGTGACCAAAAAATTATCAAGAAGTGATTCTAAAACCAAGGAAGTCAAATTTGGGTTTGACTACAGGTTCAATAAATCAAAAAGGTTTGGATCTTGTCCAAGCAAATAAGTTGTGTTATAGGATAAACCTAACACTACAGGGGAGGAATGGGACGGAAGGGAATTCATTAAAAGAATCTTCCCAATTTGATTTTGAATCTAACTCTGCCAAATTTGGGTTTGACAAAGGAGTTCAAAATCAAAAGAGCTTGAAGAATAGATTTGAATTCAAACCTGCCAAATTTAGTTATGACATGAGAGTTCCAATATAGAGAAAATCTCAGTTTGTTTATTAAACTTAGTTATGAAACTTTTAAGATCATGGTTTTAAATTTTGAATTTAAAAAAAAAATGGATTTTAAGATTTAAATTTATGGTTATGTCAGAGCACAGTCCCAGTTAATATTATATTATTTTTTTGGAGAAATGTATTGGAGAAGTTCAGAGATAATAAGGAGGATCTACATTTCATTTTTATTGATTTAGAAAAAGCTTATGATACGGTTCCAAGAGATATCCTTTGGAGAGTTCTTGAGAAGAAAGGTGTTAATATGACTTATATTCAAGTCATTAACTGTTACTTGTGTGTGAACTGAAGGCGAATTGACCAATTATTTTCCTATTTATGTTGGAATACATCAGCGATTGGCTTTAAGCCCGTATCTTTTTGCTTTAGTTATGGATGATCTTATTGGACATTTACAGAAGGACGTACCCTGGTGTATGCTTTTTTATGATGATATCCTTCTCATAGATAAGACGAGAGAAAAAGCCCAGAAAAAACTTAAATTATGGAGGTCTGCATTGGAGTCTAAAGGCCTTCATTTGAGTAGAACTAAAACTGAATGCATGAAATGTAATTTTAGTAGTAGTAGCTCTAGTGACAGAAATGTAACTTTGGGAGATCAAATTATTAAAAGGTGTGAATGATTTAGATATCTCGGGTCTGTTGTTCAAAGCGATGGTGATATAGATGGGGATGTTAATAGTAGAATTCAAGTTGGTTGGTTGAAGTGGAGGAATGCTTCGGGCCTTTTGTGTGATAGAAAAGTACCGCTTAGACTGAAGGAAAATTTTATAAGATGGTGGTGAGACTTGCAATGCTCTATGGCACTAAATGTTGGCATTTAAAAGAGAGTGTTGTCGAGATGAGAATGATTAGGAGGATGAGTGGCTTTACCCTTAGAGGAGTGGCTTTACACTTAGAGACAAAAGGCGAAATGAATATCTCCGTGATAGGGTTGGTGTGGCTCCAGTGACGGACAAAATTAGAGACAATCTTCTTAGATGGTTTGGTTACATTAAACGTCGACCATCTGATGATCTAATTAGGAGAGTAGATGTTTTAGATTTGACTTATATTAAGAAAGGTAGAGGTAGACCTAGGAAGACTTGGACTTATTGTATAAAAAATTATCTTAATTTATTAGAACAAAATGAAAATATGAAACTAAATAGGATGCAACGGAGAAAAAGGATTCATGTAGCCGACCCCACATAGTGGGATTAAGGCTTTGTTGTTGTTATTGTTGTTGTAAATGTATTGATGATTGAAAAATTTTAAGGTTTTACCTTAAACTTTAAAGGAAAATTAAGATTTTTTTTTATTTTGAAATGTTTACTTTATGAGATATTAATTTAAGTGATTTTTGTTTTATGAGGGTTATTTTATTAGTATAGGTCAGAATTTAACTTAGCAAACTTTTGAATACTAAGGAAGTTCTTTTCTAAACTAAAAAGAAAAGAAAATTATTGGAGGTTCCAATATTTTATGTTTCAAGGGATTCTAAAAAAAACCTATTAACGAAGGTTAAATAGAAGATTATAGAACTGATGGATTTAAGATATTGGATAAACTCACCCAAGAATGAAATGGACAAGATAACTAAAAAACAAGGGTAGTCTAGTATGTAAAAAAGTGCAGACACACTATCGATGTACAAAGACAAAACCACGAACCAAAATTGGAGAGAATTTATCCTCAGGGAAGTAGCCAAAAAAAATCTGCTGGTTTAATTTTTGTTGTCCGCCACACATATTTTAAATATTTAATTTAGTTGAATAAACAAATATGGCATTAAAAATAATATACTATCTTGAAAAATAAAAATATCACTTTATGTTCGATTCGATTACTCAAATAAATAATTTCATTTAATATTTTATGGGTCTACATTTAAACCAATAAATTTTTCTCCTATCATAAAGTGATATTTTTATCTTTCGAAATAGTATATTACTTTTGATGTAATATTTGATTATTCAAATAAATTAAATATTCAAAATATGTGTGGCAGACACCGAAAATTAAACTAACAAAGCACACGAACCACATAGGGTCACTATGGATAAGCCAAACGAGCACGAACAAGCACAAGGAATCATCAACCGAGTGTCAAAGTGTTAAGCACTAATGAGAACAGCAATGATGCGGTGTTGAATCTAATGAGGAATGCACTAAGAGTTATGCTTTTCTTTTATTTTTTCCTCTATGTTTTCAAGTAAGAACTAAACTCTAACCCAATTGTGTATCATTTCCCTTTATAAGTTAGAAACCCTAGATATGGGTTCTTTTTTTTCTCAAGGTATTTGGTTAAGGTTTTGATGGGAAGAAGACTAGTAAATCAAGAGGATAATAAAGAGAGTTTGGAAAGAAGTAGAAGAGTATTTAAGGTATGTAATTAAATTAGAAATTTTGAATATTTAATCTTAGAAAATAATGATTTGAAATGAATATTAAGATTATATTAAAACAAATATACTATATGGTTAAAAAAAATTAATAAAGATATTTGAATGTTATATACATGATGTACAAATGTTAATATAAGGAATTAATTAAAAACGAATCAACATATACACTGACATAGAAAAGTTAGTTTCCCTAAAAAACTGAAGGTGATGATGACATTTCTATTTTATAGTAATGATATATCTTTCTTCTAAATCAAATGTATTAAATTTAATATTATTGATACCAATTGATTTTAATTGTTATGTTAAATTTCATAAATGATAATTTCTCTACCACTATAAACGATCATACCACATATTACATTCAAACTATTTAGATAGTAGTACAATAATGAATCATCATAAATAGATATATGTGGATACGAATGCAAAAGAAATGATGTATATAGAAATGATTATGTGTATGTTGAAAGATGAAAGTCCTCCTTAAAATACTAGTTGGTTGACACTATACTTGTGCATAGATGTTTAAATGTCTTCCTAACTTAAGTGTTGGGAAAGATTTTAAGAAAATATTGACATTGAAGCACCTTAAATAATACAATTAGATGATACTCTTGTGACAATTTTATTATAAAATAGGATAAAATGTGATATGTTATTTTCTTATTCAAGCTATTAATGTAAAATAGAATATTATTTTCCTTTTCAGTTCTCATCCTTGAAAGAAATGCAAATGTTCTACAATTTTATACAAATTCACTTATAAACACTAGCATGTATATCATTTCCCCGTTCCTACGAACTACTGTAGTTTAAAACTATGATATAGCTAATTCATATTTTATAACTCATAGTTATTACTTGATAAATAATTATAGAAATGAATCAAGTAGATTGAACATTAGAAAAGAATTTATTTACAATAGATGTGGAACAATTGGTAATATGTTCTTATGCTTTGTTGATGTTACAAAAATAATAGTGTATCTTTCTCTAATTTAGAGAAAATTAAATATTTACGGATTAGTGGCTCATTTGATGTATATAAAGATAGGTTAATAGAAAATTTTATCATAGGTTGCTTCAAAAAATGTTAATGCATATACAAAGCATTTAAACTACAACTGATATAATTTGTCACCTTAGTATTCCAAGCTCTTGACTTGATTCGTAACAAGCATAGTAGAATTTTACTAGCACTTCTAGTCTCAATTAAGAGCAAATGAACTAGCAACGGTGCATATACCATGGCTGAGAGAGTTGTGCGAGCAACATGTTCCACGCTATCACTAATCAGCTAAATGCTTGAAAATAAATTAAGCGCATCAATACCATCAACAAATAGTATGGTTATAACAAAAGAATAACCATAATACAATTTTCTATTAGCACATCTTTTTATGTATACAAAGTTGGGTTAATAGAAAATTTTATCATAGATTGATTAGAGTTCTCCAAACTACATGTTCCACACTATCAACAATCAATTAAAAGCTTGAAAATAAATTAAGTGCATTAATACCATTAACAAACAGTCTAGTTACATCGAAAGAACAATGAAACACTATTTTCATTAACAACGATTCCTCATCAACAGCTTAAATTTATTTCAAATGCCCAGTTCAAGTTCAGAAAGCCAATAAATTAGATAAAAATTCATATCATTCACCTTTCAAAACAACATTAAAAAAAGCAGTTTTACTAAGTGAACATTAGAATACTATTCAATACTGCAGCATACCTGTCCATTCAATTCATTTCCACAAAAGCACCTGCAAGCCCACATCAACTTTCAATAACTAAAATAAATCCTTTCACAAAAAGCAGTAACTTCAAAAGCATTATACAAAAAAATAACGGAAAACCTTCTATACTTTACTTAATCATCCACATTATATACACAAGAATAGTTACAAACTTTAATTTCAGTAATGTTGATAGTTTGATGATTAAAGAATAGTATAGTTAAATGCAGTGTAAAAATATGAAACCATATCACTATGTAAGTATGCCATCACATGAACAAGTAAATTCAGTAGAGAGAAAGCAGTCCTTGATGTGATAAGAAAGACTGAGAAAATTTAACCGGAAAATGCAAAATATTTAGATGACTAACATTGCAAGAAACAAAATAAGTAACACTGGAAATGGCATCTAAAAATAATAATATATTATGATTTCTATATACCAAATTGATGTTTCGACTTAATTAAATCTTCATGTAAGAGCAAGTTAATTAACCTATGTTACTATCTGATAAGAAAATCAAATGTTTAAGGAAACCTTTCATTGTAATGAAGTTCATGAGACAGAAGAAAATTCTATCTCGGCAGCGTTGGAGACTGGGTTGTCCAGATTGATATTTAACTACTAGAATTCCCAATACATCACCCACTTTCTCTTACCACTGCAAAATGTAACACATGACAATTGGTTTGATGGAAGAAAAGTTTCTCCGGTGGATGTAGGATTAGGAAATGAAGCACACTGATTAGAACATTGAGACGCTCAATTTTTTATGTTTATTAGCACCTTTACTGTATAAAGCTAATAGGGCACACATGGCATGCACGGTATGATTCCTTTTCAAGAATGAACAACTTTATACCCGCTTGTCTTTCTTCTATAACTTATAGGAGCTAAAAGATAAATATATTGAAATAAAGTTGCAACAGCTACTATTAGCATTGTTAACAGAAACAAACAAGATAACCCCCTATGCGATACAATTTAAGGCATCATTCTTCTTTGAGACGCTCATCCCTGTACACAGAACCACAACCAAATCGAGAAGAAATATCAACAAATACAAGAACAACACATCTCATGTTCTTTCCGCTGTGTCGCATAAACTTAACAATAATAAGTAAGCCCGTTTCAGAGCACTCCCATCGACCTTGAGCCATAGAATCACAATATTGTCAAGAATTTCTGGAATTTATCGAAGAAGAGCTTAAGGAAGGCTAAATTGTTAAACAGGCGAACTTCAAGGTGGAGGATAATCTAAATTCTCTCGGTTTCTTATCAATTTCCATGTACAAAGGATCAGTCCAAGATAGTAAAAGATTCGCAAAATGCATCAATAAACATGGGAAACAAACAAGTGCGAGATCCAGTAAGATACCCTGTGAAGGAAAACAATACCTGAGGATCTTCTCAAGGTACTCGGATACCAAAGTTTGCCAGTATGGCCCAAGAGCAGCCGTGCCCTCCACCACCACAATCAGTTGTTTCTCCGCCATGCACTGCTCGTAACAACACTCCAGGATTCTCCGCCACTGCAGATCGCCAGAGCCACCAAATCAGGATGAACACGTCCCTCAATCGGGATGCCACGAGAACAAGACGCAATGAATTTTGCCGGACGAAACCTGAGACTGCTTTTGTTTTCGTCAGGGTAAAATTAATCGGTTGGATCATTTAAAAAAGAAAAAATGTTGGATTTTTATTAACCAGGTCTTTAGTGTGGCGCATTTTTCATTAGACTCCTCTCTCTACCAAGATATATTGATGATGAATTTTGAAGATAAAAGCAATGAATTTGAGACCGATGTGAGTTTAGCTTCGTTTGAAATGTGCATTGTTTATGTTAAAATTTCATAGTTTATGCGGTTATATTTGTGGTTTAGGGTTATTTAGTCGTGAAATACTTATGAATTTATTAGTGTTTCCTCAGTTTGAATTGAGTATTTTTTATATTATTATGGGGTTATTATAATATTGTTGTAGTGTTATTTATCTTTTAAATGTTTAGGGATGTAACTTCTCAAGGATAATATTATTGATGTATTCTTCTAGTATTATTGTGGGTTTATTTTGTTCTTTATATGTTTCTAGACATAAGTCCCCCTGAATAGTGTCATTCATGTGTTATTTTGTTCTTTAGGTGTGGTTATTGTGATGTTTTTGTAGTATTATTTATCGTTTATGTATTTCTAGAAAGTTCTCAAGGGCAATGATACTGATGTGTTATTCTAGTATTATTGTGATGTTATTGTTGTGTTATTGTAGTTTTATATGTCATTTCTATGTTTCTAGTAGTAAGTTCTCAATGACAGTGTTATTGATGGTATTATTGTATTGTTTTGTGTTATTTCTTTATTTCTAGACAGAAGTTCTTAAGGACAGTGTTATTCTCGTTTTATTGCGGTATGATTATGGTGTTTCTTTCATTATTTTTTTAGTATTTGAAAGTTGTAAGACATTGTGTTATTGATATGTTATTGTGGGTTTATTGGAGGGTTATTCTAGTTACTTAGATGGAGTTATGCCTACTTTTACTGGTGTTGTTGCCATGTCAATTTGGTGTTTACTATTGTGTTAGTGGTGTTATTTTAGTGATAAAATTTACGTAATTTTTGGTGTATTTGTAGTGATAAGAAATTATTGTTGGAATATTATGCTTTACTGAGATATAATATTATGCAAATGTGCAGGTTAATGAGAACATTGTCCACAATGATCCAATTGTGGAGAATTTTTTTCACACCATTATCCACAATGAGCAAGAAGCATATGATAACTATTGTGCCTATGCACACTACATTGGTTTCGCTGTCCGAAAGGACCAGAGAAGTTTTTGGCCAAACTCAAAGAAAATTAAGTCAAATGATTATTTATGTGGAAAAGCTGGCCACAAGAGAGAGTTAAAGATAATCAATACGACGAAGTATAGAAAAGCAGACATAAGGACTGGTTGTCAAGCCATGGTTCGATATGTTATTGATGTTGAGGGAGATGCGCCCCTAGTGTGTGTTGTTTTTCTACGTGTTTTATGTCAATTTAAATCCTCAGTAACAGTGCCACAAACTTGATGGGGCCGGTAGATTTAGTGTGTAAATTTTGCAAATATTTTTCAAAATTATAAAATAACACACGGCAGATATATAATAAATATGTAATATAATCTCAACAAAAACACCTTTTATGAAAATCGTCTATCTTTTAAAACTCTTTTTAAACTGTCAAATCCCCGTTAAAATCAACGCAAGTATACGTATCGCTCAAGTAATAAAGGGCTCTAATGGACTACTAGATATCGATCTCACAGGGAAGTTGGAAAATCCTTTAAGTAAGTTTTTGAAATTATTCTTAATTTAAAAAAAATACAAAAACAAAAATAAAAAAAAGTAAAGCTTTTTGAAATTATTCTTAATTTAAAAAAATACAAAAACAAAAATAAAAAAAAGTAAAGTAAAGTGTGAAGTTTGAATATTAACTACTAAGGTAAATGTTATTTAAAATGCAGTTGAAAAGCAAAGTTAACTAACTAAGAACTAACTTTTAAAAGTAAAATTACAAAAACTAAACAAAGTGTTTGTTTTGACTGAAAGTTTAAATTTAAGAAAGCATCCTTCCCCTTTACAATGAGTATATGGATTGTAAAGAAATTGAAATCATTAGAAAATATATATAAACTATTTTGTGCAAATTGGAGCAATCCTATTCTTTACACTCTTCCGAGTGTATAAAGAACATTGACTAAATCCGTACTTATATGGTTAAGCTGAGAGACTACCGGCTTCCACTCCAGAGCTCCCTCTACTCCCTCACCTGAGGGCTTACAATCTTGCTTTAGTTTTCAAGGAACTGAACCAAATTGGAGATTTTAATCTATCACCTTAAAATCTCCAATTCTGCACCCATCAAAGTATATATTCCTATTTATTTGCATGCAACCCCATGGATTAATTTCTCACCCATGAAATTGAATGTGACTCTTACCTTATTTTAGTGAAATCATAACCCTTTTTAGAACATATGTCTCTCAACAAGTTTTAACATTTCAATTGGACAGATCGAAAAGTAAATGAAGATCGAAGTTCAAATCATCACAAATTATTAACATTTAAAACTGTAGAAAAAAAATTAATTCTTCACAAAACCATATATCAAAGTAGGGAGATGCTAAAGAAGACTACTCAAAATTCATAAGAAGGATACTACAAAACACAGATTTCATATTTAAAAATAAGTTTACAAAATAAAAGAAATAAAATACACAACTTATCTCACAATCTTTCCCAAGCAAATCCCTAGAAATTCTCTCCAAGCTTTCTCTCTTTACAATCCCACTCAATTCTCTCTTAGAAGTGTAATGAAGAAAAAATCTCTCACATTCCCTCTCATCTTACAACCCTATAATAAAATCTCCTCTTTTTTCCTCTTGCCTCTCACTCCAACTTTCTCTCTCTCTCTCTCTCTCTCTTTACTCTCTCTTTACTCTCTTTCTCGTCTCTATGAAGTTTTCCCTTTATTTTGGGCTACCTCATTTGAAAAAGAATTCAAAATTCCCCTCCAAAAGTCAACTCTTTTGAATTCAAAAAATGTGTCATTTGATCCAAGAGACATCCCTTCATAAAAGAACATTCCAAAGTGTTTAGATGCATTGAATTACTCTAAGAGATGTGTAGAACAAGTGACCCTCCCATTGAAAATTCGTGCAAAATTCATCTCAAACTACCTTAATTTGCAAAAGGTTGTCTCTGACTCATCATGCGTCGATCTGGCGCATCATGTGTCGATCTGGCGCATCATGAACCAGTTTTTTATCAAACAGCGCATCATGCACGGACTGGCACATCATGCGCCAGAATCCCAATATTCACTATTTTGGCTCCAAGTTTCGAACTTTTTGCCATTTTTGCTCTAAATGCTTAAAATTGATACACCTGCAACAAAAATATGAAAATGTCATTATTTAAAGTGCAATATCACCAAAAATAAGCATAAAATATGTGCTTAAAAGAGTATATTATTTTGTTGTATCAAAATCCCCCAAACTTAAATGTTACTTGTCCTCAAGTGACACTTTTACTACATAAAAGTATATGCCTTAGGATAAAGATATACTTACAACTTCTATTCTTTAGTTTAATAAACAGAATAACAAAATTTAAGAAAAATCTTTAACAACTTAGATTCATACTTTAAGTCTAGGAATACTTAATAATCAAATTTAAGATTTTTAAAACTCTATTCATTTTAAGAAGAATTATAACTTGTCATATTAATGACATTTAGAACATTCATATGAAAAAGAACTTCATGAAAATTTTATTAAGAAAGCTACTAATACTCCAATATAAGTTTAGAAAATGTAATAAAACTCATTCCTTAAGTTGATCCAAGTGAAGCCAATTTTTTATTAGACATCTCCTCAAGCTTCTCCTCACTTATTTTTTTTCTCTTATGATCTTTTTAATCATTTCTTTTCTTTTTCTTTTTTTTTTTCTTTTTCAAGTGATGATTATTATATCTGGATAGCCTTTAATAATTTTGAACTTCACTATCCTCTTCTTAAAATTAAAACTCTTTACCTCTCTTCACTTTATAAATTTATATTAGTTTAGGATTCTTAAAAAAATCTCGTTCTTTTCTTTCTATATGAAACTCTAAAATTCTTAATACTTCAAAAATATGACTTCCTTTACTTTAAATAGAAAAGCATGGTATTATCATATCATAGCAAATATCTTTAACTTTAGAATTAACCTTCATTATTAAAAACTTTTTACCTAAATTTACCATAATATTTATAAACATAAGTATAGTTAATTAAAGTTAAATCTTAATATCCCAGGCCATGTTAAATTAATTTTAAAAATATAGTTAATTGAGGAAAAAACAACTTTAGTTTACTTCTTTTCAAAATAAATTTTTCTTTCCCCCAAACTTAAGTTTTTAAGTGATTTTAAAAATATTCACAGTATATAATTTAGTAGGTGAAAGAAAACAGTAAATGCATGAAAATAAAAGATGGCCTGTAGAGGATTTCTAACTATGAAACTAGACTTTGTATACTGCATGATTAACTGTAAAACTACATACAGGCGTTAAAGCATTAAATAAAACAAACATATTCTAAAGAACTTGCTGAGAATAAAAAAATAGAAATACGAACACTGAAAAACTAAACTGAAAATACTAAAAGTACTGAAAAAGTGAAAGTCTACAATTACTATTACAATTATGTTCACAACACAACATGGAGTTTCTTACTAGAACAAGTTTCAAATAAAATTTCATCACAATGCAATCACAAATAACAAACAAACATTTAAAACACAGTAAATTAAACTTATAAAAATCAATCCTCATCTCCTTCCTCATCATTATCAGAATCGTTTTCTTCTTCTTCTTCTTCTTCATCATGAACAGGAGCATAAGGAGTGAAACTGAGGCAAGTAAGAAAGTCCACATTAGGTTCACCTTTAAGATGTCTTACCATAACATTTTCAAAATCAATATCATGTTGAACTCTCCTCTGCTGATATTCATCATTATAAGCATTTATTGCTCCTATCTCTCCCAACTGAGTTTGAATATTAATTATGACCATTTTTTGAATCATCAGTCGGTGCATAATACCTTCAAGTGATGCTGATCGAGAAGTAGAACCACC